ATCGTGAACAACCATGACAGGAGCCCCCGAGCCCATCTCTCTGCGCCATTGTTCTGGCCTCTAGCCGGAGCGCTCTTTGAGGGCCCCAGGGCCCGCGATTGATCGACAGCGCCCAGTGTGAAATAATCTCAACGCTAGGATTTCAGGGTCCTTTCACTCCCCCCCCCTCCGCATAAGAGTTACAGTTGCTCCCCCGCGGCGCCCGCTACGTCCTCCAGAGCTGCCAGGTCGAAGAGATGCTCGATCTGTCCTCCCCCGAGCTGATCCTTGTCCTGGCTCCGTCTGAGGCCTCCCCATCTTCCTCTCCCCCTCCCCTTCCCCCCACCCCCTCCCCCTCCCTTCCCCCCCCTCCCGCCCCCTCCCCCCCCCCTCCCCCTCCCCCGTCCGGGCTCCGTCTTACCTCCCCTCCGCCCCCCCCCCCCTCCCCCTCCCCCCCCCCACCCCCCTCCCCCTCCCCCTGCCCCCGCCGTCCCCCTCCCCCCCCCCCCTTCTCACCTCTCCCCCTCCCCCCTCCCCCTCCCCCCCTCCCCCCCCCCTCCGCGTCTTCTCCCGCCCCCGTCGGGGGGCCCCCTCGGGGGGCGGCGGCCCCCCCACCCCGCGCCATGGTCAAGGCCAAGCGGGGCGGCGCCGGCACGGAGTACAAGGAGGCGCGCCGCGTCTTCTCCCGCCCCCGTCGGGGGGCCCCCTCGGGGGGCGGCGGCCCCCCCACCCCGCGCCATGGTCAAGGCCAAGCGGGGCGGCGCCGGCACGGAGTACAAGGAGGCGCGCCGCCGCGGGGGGAGCGCAGCTCTGAGTCGGGCGTGTCCCTCCACAGGAGGAATATTCACAATTAGTGAAAACATATTCAGGGGAGGTTTTTTTGTTCTTCTTGAGTATTTTTGACTATTTGAGTATTCTGTTTGAGTTGTTTGTTTAAATCTCTTCCAAGATCCGCCTGTAGGGGGACTTACCCGACCCAAGCGCAGCTTGAAAGGCCTCTGCGCAGTGCGCGCTGGCTGTTGAAGGTAGGTGTCCCACAGAGCCGGCGCTCCCCCAAAAATGGAATGGGCGGCTTTTGGCCGTGTTCGGCCTCATAGGGGGGGCCCTCGCGGGGCCTCGGGAGCGTCGAAAAACGATTCTGGACGGAAAACAAGGGCTCCCTCGAGGGCGCGAAGTTATTCGCGCTTCGCGCTTCGCGGTCCTCGTTCCTTCTCCTCCTCCTCCTCGTCCTCCTATTCTCCCTTTGGGAGGGCGGCGCGAGAGCGCGAAGTTATTCGCGCTTCGCGCTTCGCGCAGCGCGAAGCGCGAAGTTGGGAGCCCTAGGAAAACAGCCCCAGGGAAGTGGTCCGGACCTCCAGGGCCCAGGCATCAAAAAAAATATGGAACAGCCAGATGTCTGGGATTGCTGGGTTTCCAGATCCCAATCTACTTTAGGCGCCTTCCTACTTCCATCGTCGAGTGCTTTCACCTTTCCTTCCTCTTCAAGGGGCGGACGGGAGCCCAATCTGCTTCCAGCGCCTTCTGGCTCCATGTTTCTACCCACTTCTTCCGACCGACGGGGAAGTCGTGATAGTCGGAGAAGCTTGCGGTCACGCCTGCACTCGGAGGCGATTTTTCTCCCCCAATCCCTTCGTTCCGCTTGAAAAATTTGGCCGGTTAGAAACAGGGGGAGACCCTGGGATACGCCCCAAGGGGGCTATTCGGACGCATCCCTATCTAGGGTGGACGCATCCCCTTCCTAGATCCCGGGCTTGTACCCCGAATTTCTGGACCGTTCAGGAACCCCATGAAGCCTGGGATAGCGGTTCACAGATCCCCCGTTACGTATGCAGTCAGCACGCTCAGGTAGGGACATGTTTGGCTCAGGAGGTGCTCTGGTTTTTGGGCTGTTCAACTCGATCCGTGTCGTGAACACGATTCGTGGTCGAGGCTCTTCGTGGCCGTTCTTCATCCAGCGCCCCTCGTGCATGGTAGCACGCTGACTGCACGGCGAGCCACAACTGGCGCACCCTGCCCTTCAAAATACCAATGCTGCGGAAGGTGCGGCCACGCCAGTGACCTGCATGTTTCCCCTGCCGCTGCGGAAGCGTCTGTGGGAGCAGGGAGAAGCCGTCTGGGGCCCTCTCAAGGTTGCGTTGCCCTGGGGCTCTTTGCGGACATTTGGGCCCTTCTTCAGGGGCCTCCTCCTCCTCCTCCTTGGCCTCCAGGGGCCCGCTAGGGGCCATCTTGGAGCTCTCTGGGGACAGTCTTGGGGCGCTCTTGGGCCGTCTGGCGCGCCTTCAGAGGCCGTCTCGGGGGCCAGGGGCCTGTTAGGGGCCCTTTATGGCCGTCGCTTGGGGCTCTCTTGGGCCGTCTCGGGGCCCTCTTGGACCGTGCTGGGGCCGTCTTCTGGCGGCGAGCGAGGGGGGGAAGTGAGAAGGAGAAGGTCGTCTCAGAAGGCGGCGGGACTTCTCAGAAGCCCTCGCGCCCTCTGAGAATGAGAAGTTTTGCTTGTCTCCGGGGAAGGCTTAGGAAACTTCTCGGAAGGTCCGGGGACTTTCGAGCCTTCTGAGAAGGTCCGCCCCTTATCACTTCTCCCCCTCGCTCGCCGCCTAGTCTTAGGGGTCCTATGCGGCGTATTTGGGCCGTCTTGGGCTGTTCTTAAGGGGCTTCTCGGGCCGTCTTTGGACATTCTTGATTCCGAACAGGCAAGAATCAGAGAGAAATGAAACACGAATGGGCTATCAAGATGTTTGCCTCTCGGGGCCCTCCTGGGGGACCTCTTGGAGCCTTCTCGGGGAGTCTTGGGGGCTTCTTGTCTCCTCCTGGGGCAGTGTTGGGCTCCGTTGGGCCGTTGTTCGGCCACCGTGGAGGCCCTTGGGGTCGTCTTGGGCCGACTCGATGGCGACAACGGTCGGGCCGAACGAAAGGGGGGGATAGGGAAAGGGGGGCTTAAGAAAAGCTGCTGTGTGCAGCTGGCGCCGCCTGGCCCCTTCCTGGCGCCGGGAGGCGCTGGGAAAATCAGCTGCGTGAGCTGATTCTCTACCCTTACCCTTTGCTGTCCCCCCCTTTTTCGTTCCCCCCCGAAAGGGGCCCTCTCGGACAGCCTCTTGGCGCCATCTTGGGCCCTCCTCCTCCTCCTCCTTCTGCTCCTGCTCCTCCTCCTGGGCAGCGCGCCGAGGGCCGATGTCCTTCGAGGCTGCCGGCAGGCCGTGCCCGCAGGCCGCACGGGCAGCGTGCATGAGGGCCGCAGGGAGGGGGGGAAAGAGCCGGGCAGGCTGGCACGCCGAGGTGCCCCCAGCTTTTCGATCAATTTTGAAGCCCCTGGGGCCCTCTGGGCCTCGTGAGGGGTGCTCTGGAGGCCGTGGGGGCCTTCCTGGAAATCCTGGGGGCACCTTGGCCCAGGGGCACTTCTAGCAACACCCGAACTTTGCAGGAGGGCCGCAGGGAGGGGGAGAGAGCCAGGCAGGCCGGCACGCCGAGGTGCCCCCGTGGAGCGCGCAGGGGGCGCGGCGACCAGCCAGCCCGCGCAGGGTCGGGTATGGCCAGGACCCCAGGTAAGGGGACCCGGTTAGTGGTAGGGCCCTGGGGTCCCCGAGTTGGCCAGATGCACTAAACCAGGTCTGCCGTAGCTGGTGTTTTTCGGGTGGCGGCAGTTCCGGTTAGTGGAAATGGGGCGGGGGGGCGCCCCCTGTACAAATCACAAAACCAGGTTCCACTAAACCCAGTTCTGCCAAGGCCCGATAGGGTTGCGGGGGTCGACTGCTGGAGGGGAAGCATGCCGCCGAACAATTTCCAGATGTCTAACACGTGTTTCAAACACATGCTTCAAGCATGTAAAAACATGTTTGCTACATGTTTAGAACAGTTTTCACATTTTAAACACAGTTTGAATTCAATGATAGGGTTGTTAGAGCGTCCATTGTCATGGGACCCACAAGTATCGGGAGGACCGGGAGGACGAGCGACTCTCCAATCGCAGGCGATCGCAAACATGGATCAAGGAGGCGTGAATTCGCGATTGCAAACATGGACCAAGGGGCGCAATCATGACGGGAGATTTTTCGCTATCTTCGGCCTCGGGGGGCCCTCGCTGGGCCTCGGGACCGTCAAACAACGACTCAGGATGAAAAACGGGTCTCGGGGAGCAGGTCGGGACTTCCAGGGACCCCGTCCCGAAAAAAGTTAGAACGTCGCATGTCTGGGGACGGGTCCCGTTTCCACGGGAAATCGCGGATTTCCGCCGCCGAGCGAGGCGGCGCCGGCCGCATTTTGGTGAGGGCACCTCCCCAGATCCATGGATTTGGCGACCGCGCGCCAAATCCATGGATCGCTAATCCATGTGTGCGCGCCCCCGACAATCACCGAGCGCGTTCCACTGCTCACAAGGTGCCTACCCGCAGACGTCCGAAAACCACGTGTCTGCATCAATGTACTGTATCGTAACTCTCCCATGGCAGATCCAGGACGTTTGCGAGTAGTGAAACGCGCTTGTCTATCAAAGGTTGCATGCCCTTGAAGCCTTCCCCATTCGGCCCCTCCTTGGCCGCGTTCGCGGGCACGTGGCGGCATGGCCTTCCAGGACCCCTGCATCCTGCTTATCGTGCGTCCTGACTGATGGCACGGGCTGACTGCAGCCAGTGGTAAGGCGGGCATGTGGGCAATGGCTCGCCCGTTTGGGGCCGCCTCCGTTTCTTTCTGGGCGGAGCCGTCGCCAACCGCAGCGGAGCCGCTGCCCTATTACATGTTTCTCGGACTTGCTTTTTGTTTGCTTACTACCTTGTGTTCCTTCTTGTCTCTCCTTCTGTCTTCTTTCCCCGCTTGCTACTGGACTGCACGGGATCAGCCACTTATTGTGGCTTGGGCCCCAATTCGTTGCCTCTGGGATCTCTTGTGGGGCAGGGGATCCTTAATACCAGTTCAGTGTTTCATGTGGCATGCAGTTCCCTTGCCTCCCGTCCCCCTGCTGCTTCGTGCTTTCTGCTTCTTCGTCTTTCCTTCCTGCCGTCAGCTTCCCTTTCCTGCTTGCGCTGCTGCTGTCCATGCTTTCGGCTGACTTTGCGGAAGCTTTTTCAACTTCACGGCTCCATGGAGTGGAGGTGCGGCTCAGACCGGTTGGGCCTTCCTGTTTTCACGACTCTGGGGGCATTGGGTTCGTTGCGTTGCGGGAAAAAGTAGTGTTGAGGCGGGCATGTCCTTGTACAGGGGGAATTGTCAAACATAGTAAAACAAATAGTCTGGGGACTTGACATTCTTGGGCATGTTCTAACAACATGTTTCAGGATTTGTCGAACATAATCCGCCGGCAGGAAGACATGCCCGACCTAAAAGCTAGCGGCCTCGGGCCCATCCCGCCACCATGCCTGTGGGAAGCCTCTCGGCAGCATCTTGGGAGCCTCCTGGAGGTCCACTGGGGCATCTTGGGCTCTCCTAAGGGGACTTCTGTGAGCCTCGTGGGTCTCGGGGGAGGGGGGAGCCTCCTGGCTCTTGGGGCTTGAGGCTCTCTGGGGGTCGTCTTGGGCCGCAGTGGAGCGTCGGGAGCTCGAAAAGTCGAGGGCCCCCCAAATCCAGGCAACACTTTGGGAAAGCGCACGGTGTTGGCCTCTCGGAGCCCTCCTGGGAGGGGTCTTGGGGCTTTTTTGGGGGCTTCTTGGAGACCTCCTGCTCCGTCTCGGACGCTCCTCGGACC